TTACTTATTGTAACATTGGCCTTATCAAAGAATAAGTAATGCCGATAAATACTTAAAAGCATACATAAACTTTAATTGGTAAAAATGATGGGCAAATTAAGTAATTAAGTATTATTGGTTATCAATTTATTATAATTTTCATACATTTCCAAAAAGTGACGAGGTAGCAAAATGGAGGTAAAACAGGGTACGCAATAATTTCTTTAAAGAAGACGCAATTTTAAATCATTGTTAAGATTTTGAGTTGGTGTGTTTCAGTATCAAAGGGCGGATATGCATTTAAGAAGAATGGTTGAAATACCTATGTATTTTTTGTATGTATTCTGTAATATTAAAGAAAAAAAACGTCGAAATATTTACTAAATGTGTACAAAGGGTACTACAAAATTTGTAATAATCTGTAGCATCGACAAATTATATACGTACGTATTTTTGAAAACATATGTTAAAGATTTAATTGAGTTTTTAAAATAATAGGGGAAATATTTATACGTCCGGAATCCTGGCGATGTGTAAAAATATTTGTGATCCATGCAAGTTAGGGGACACACCGACAAAGTGTTTGACCGTTGATCGGCATCAAATGAAAAGTGTAAACTAAATTCATATCCGCTCTTTGGTCATGATGTAATCCGGTCTTCCAGCCGTGCACATACTTTTTGAGGATAAAGAAGAATCAGGTGGTGTCTCTGCTGCTATTTAATCCGTCTTCTTCTTCTTTCACGACTGGTTTAAAAGGTAGGTGTGTACAAATTCCTGAAATAAGTGACCATTTATTGGACGGACGACATCACCAAAGTCTTTATATAAGAACGAGAAGAGAAGAAAAAAAAAGTTGCTTGTTTACTCTCCTCTCATCTCAACGATCAGCATCTTTTGTTAAATAACAGCGTGATAAAGTAAGTAGTAGTATTTTTACCAAGGCAAATTTTTAGCTGGATCTGATGCGATGCGATCTTTGTTAAGTATGGGACGCTTCACGTTTAATGTTTTGTAAAAGAAATTAAGTTTTTATCTCGGTTAAAATCCATTGTTTTAATACAGTGAGGCAATTAACGCAGGTATTTGTAACTTTGTAAAATGTGTGCGTTGCGTACCATAATTTTGTAAACTTTTACAAAATAAAGAGACGATGCCCTTGATTTGAGCAAGTTTACAAAAATTTGGAAGCTAAATTTCCTTCAAAAAATGACTAAAATGTTGTAAAAGTTTATAAGTTTACCGATTTTACAAAGTTACCAAGGCCTTCGTGAGATGAAAATGATTTTACGCAATTTTACAAAATAAAGAGACCTCCTCGATCTGAACAAGTTTATAAACATTGGTGCGCTAATTAGCTAATTTTCCTCTGAAATATGACCAAAATTTTGTAAAGGTTTGTAGGTTTACCTATTTCGAATGGTATACCTATTTTTCATCCAGCCAGAGCATGCTTTGTGTCAATTTGCCCCACATTGAAAAGTAAATGCGTCCACCAGGCCAATGTTGTATTTTGCATGGGAAAAATGCTGCCCATAACTCGACTCGTGTCTCAATATGCGTAATGTGCAGGCTCGGCTGCAGTGAAGTAGCTGGAAATCTCATTTTTCCCAGATTCGATTCGTGTACAAGTGAGGAGGATGTGACGGAGAAATGACGTCCAAAAGTGGGTACCACTCTTTTCCAAGAAATGAAATGCAATGCGAGAATTCAGTGAAGTTGGAGTTGAACCACAACAAACAAACAAGTGAGACTCTTGTTTTGCAGATGAAACCAGATTTCGTCTCATTTTTCCCCTCCTTGTTTTTCGGCTGCTGGTGAGTGAGTGAGGAGATTATTGGTAATCTCGTATTTAGGTAGTGAGAAAGTCGTAAAACTTTAATGGGGAGAGATTAGTATTTTGGAGGACTTTGTGAACTTCGACTTTTTTGTGGAGTATGGAACTAAGAGAGGATGGATATTTAGTTATTTTCAGATTTTTAATTTGATGACAAGTTTCAACTTTTATATTTATTTATGATATTGTTTAAGATTTTTTCGATATTTCGAGCTTTTCAAAAATATAAATGTTTTAAAAATTGAAATATTTCATGGATTACAAAATAATTTGTATAAAAAATGGGTGAAATTCATATTTTTTCCATTTTTTTAAAATATTAAACACTTATGAAATTCTGAGAATTGTTATTTTCGATATTTCCAACTTTTAAAAAATAGCTATTTATTTCAACCATTAAAATAAATATCGTTTTGTTGTATTCTATTAAATATTTTCGTAAAGATTTTATCTTTTTTTGAAATAAATATTTCACACATTCTTCATAAATATGTAGTAAATGTCCGTCGTCTGAAATCTGGTCTGTCGTAAGTACGATAAGATTTTGTCGAATTACTAATCGTCAAAACAGAGATGAGATGATGACATCATGCCAATAAATATGTGATTTATTTACATACACACATATTTCATTTCATTTCGATTAAACCAAAGTTATGTAATGTTTTATTTACAAATTCCTTGATTAAGCTTAATCACTCGCTCTCGTATGCAGATCAAATACATTTTTTTCCATAATTTGTACACCATGTTCAAGTCGAAGGATACGTAAGTAAATTTGCAAGGGCAATAATTTTACAGATATGAAAAATGTGAACATGCCAGACGAGGAGCGATTACTTAAAAAGCACGTGGCGTGTGGCTGATGATTTCACATTTTTCTAGTTTGTCCATATTTTCGTTAATATTCTTCTCCTTGTGCGGACAGGATCGAGGAGATCTTTCTTGCCACCTGTTCCAGTAAACCAGTGACCGCGGAAGCTGTGTGGTGGGACATTGGGGGCGTTAACATTGCAGAATAAGGGAGAAGGGCCGGCTTTATATACACTCAAAATAAGGTAGTAATGAATCATTACCATGCGGAATGACTATGTGTCTCTACCACGTCGGTTAGGATTTGTCGTACAAATGGTAATAATAACTTCAGGGAAATTCAAATTTATTACATTATGGTATTCACTTCCTTAATATTTGGTAATGAATTTGAATTTCCCGGAAATTATTATTACCATTTCTACGACAAATCGTAACCAACGTGGTAGAGACACCTAGTCATTCCGCAAGGTAATGATTCATTACTACCTTATTTTGAGTGTAACCTGGGGAGATGATGCGGATATCGAACAACCGAGGGGACATTGTCCCTCTGTCCCCACCCACCCTTCCGCGGCCACTGAGAGTCGAACCAAGTAAGAACATCTTTACATAAGCAACTTTGAGATAATGCATCGTCAACAATACTGCGTCCACGTCCACGTCCAGTCCAGCGGACGGGGTCAACTTCTTCTTCAACCAGGGCTCATTTATTTATCCATCTTTAAAATGTCAAGATTGACATAGTACCAGTTTATGTAGCAGGTTTTGTCAAGCGTTATCTCCTCACGTGTGTATGTAAAGACAACAATGACATTAGTCAAAGTAGATATGGAGAGGAGAATTAATCAAGTATTAGAATGACGTCAACACACTTTTTTCAAGATTTAATCAAGATTTTGAGGGATTTAATGAATTTAATACCCTCACGAAATTTGGCAAGGAGTAAAACAACAACAAAATTAAAAAAGCTGTTAATCGGGATGAATCTTTAAATTTTTTAGAATTGCATGATTTTCTACTCTATTAAAAAGACTCTGATCTGGTGAATCTTTGATGAAAATTGCACGTTTTTTTCTATTATACCAAAACACCACATAGAAAATAATATTCCTATCGGGGTAAAAGTCCACTCCCAGTGTTTCGTTTCTTACGGGTTTGCTACATTTCTTGCAATGCAAAAGAACAAAGATAAGAAATGCGAGGTGCAGGAAACTGCAAGAAATATGCGCAATCCAGCCACGCGCCGTATGCCGTATTTACCGCGGTTGGGCGTCGTTTCTTAAACGCCTTGAATTTCTCCCAGGTCAAAATATTTCGCTGCAAGAAACCACTTTCTTGCAGTTATTTCTGGTTAAGTACTTGCACCCGAAGCACTGTCCACTCCCACTATGCATCAGGTATCATGATGCGGCTGCCTGATCTGGTCAAACTACCATGGCGTGCATGCACTGCAGTTATTGTCAATCTGCCAGAGGAAAAAGAGGCAAAGTCCGAACTGCATCTGCATCTCTGGCCTAACAACAAACAACAACAGGATGAATTCATTGCACTTTTTGGCTAAAAAAGTCTACCCAAAGCTGCACAAGTACCTTATTACGAGTACTAATTGACGCCCATTCATTAAGCATGTTTTGTGCCAAATTAGTACCCGAAATTAGTACATCCACTGAATGATCATGGTTCAAGAATAATTAATTTCGCATTAAAAATTTGAACAAGGATTTTTTATAGATTTTCTTGCGAAAAGTAAATACCGCGATTTATTTATTCGTGTTGTTACCTCCTCCTCCTTCTTCTCATTACATGCGTACATACGTTATTAGACTTAAAAATCAATACAGACATTGTCGGACATATCGGTTCAGTTTAGAGTAAATACTTACATTAAATAATCTTAGTTTTTTCTTAACGAATCAGAATCATTACGCTCACCTCATCACCCTCCTCTCGTTGTTTTCCGATAACAACTTATCAATCTTCCCCTCCTTCTCTCATCTTATGTTCTCTGGCGACATAATTATAGTAAAAGTAACAATGTATACCTATAAATAATGAAGATCTCTCAGCGTATGCGGTCCGATTTTGGGCAAATTGGTGTCAATCGATTGCAAATTTGATTTGCATGAAATTTGCCAAAGACACGATCTCCCAATGGGCACGTTTGGCCGAGATATTTGCATCCCAAGAGGAGAAAATGCGCAGTAAATTTGAAAATTGTAAAATTTGTCGACTTTATTGCTCGTTTTCTCCTCTTCGGATGCAAATATCTGGGCCAAACGTGCCCATTGGGAGATCGTGTCTTTCGCAAATTTCATACTAATCAAATTCGCGATAGATTGACACTACTTTTTGCCAAAAATCGGATCGCATACGCTCCGAGACCTCCATTTTACATAGTCATCGTCCCCTAAATTAATTACAATTAATTACTCCTCCGCCTACTAATAAGCACACATTTCAATCAGTCCAATACTTAAATTACATGTTCCTTCTTTCCTCCCCCTTCCCCCCTCTCCATGCGACTTTGGAGGAATAAAAAGTACGTATGTATATTTTCTCCTCTTCAATTAATTACTTAATTAATTAGATACATAATTTCCCTCTTTCTTGTTAAGTACTAAAGTTTACAACGCGTTGGAATACATATCTTCTAATTTACATATTGTTGGCCAACTAATTAACTAATTAATTAATTAATTAACTACTTTGCTAAGAAGAACAACAGCAACATGGAATGTAGTCAGTACATTTAGTTAACTATTTAGTAATTTTTAGCAGTAACATTTAACACAAAAAGCTCACTCATGGAGAAACGGAAAGCAAAAAACTACACATTGAAAATAATTAATGTGCCAAAAATTGGCACATTTTTCTGCAAAATAGACCTCCAAGAGTCTGCACTTGTAAGCAAAAACTACGTAAACCGTATCGGACATCGATGTGCCAAAAATTGGCAAATTTTTCTACAAAAAAGAAGTCTGCACTTGTCAGAATTAACTGTCCAAAAAGTCCTAGAAATTTTGCACGTATGAAAAATTCGCGAATTTTTTGCACATTAATTTTTCAATACTTTAACCCTTTTCACTTTCACTTTCACGATGTACATAAATCTCTGTTGGCATTTCATCCTATATAATTTTGCTCTTCTGTATGTAAATTACTTGCTAAAAATTACTTACTTAATTGCTAATAAGCCAACAATGATGCAATTTTAAGCCGATTATCGCGAATTTTTGTATAAAAATGGTTCCTATTTTTACTCGAATTTTTCCTTACTTATTCATTAGTTAATGTGATCTCTCTCTCGTGTTCGGAAATGTACAAATACTGCGACAAGTCTTACTCCCCAAACACCACGACGACACTACGACGCCGAGTCCTGGCCAGACTGAGAGTTTGGCAGGCAGACAGTTGCGTAGAGTTGTGGTGTAAAAGTAAAAGTTACATAATATGTAAGTAAGTAAGGATAGAAATACAACGTGGTAATAAAATTGTTACCGAGCAGTGTATGTAACCAAGTAGGTAACGATTTCCTAGGTCAGAATCAGTGTTTCGGGTGGAAGTAACCACGTATCAATTCAACAATTATTATTACCACGATGGATAACGAATCGTCACCTACTCGATAAACTGGGTACACTACTTGATAACAATTTTTTACCTTCAGATGATAAGACATACAAGGTAAAATTATTACTTAATTAGATAAGTCTATTAATTAAATAAGGTAAATAAGCATACCCTCCAAGAAAAATTACTGCGTAAGTAACTAATTTAAAAAAATAACCACAATTCTCACCTGCGCTTATACTTGGTAACTTGCGCCATAGTTAAAGTACAACAACATTGGCGCAAGTTACTATATAAGAAGTGAAGTAAATATAAACCCAGCTTAAGAAGAATTGTATAAGCAATTATTTAAAATTAATGATACGTCCTTATCAAGTTAACCTTATCCTAAAAAAACATCACACATTTCAATAACTAGTTTGTTTCATCAGATCACGGTAAGAAAAACGTATTCCTTAATAAAATGGAGTCGTAGTTATAATTAAATATGCATAATTATAAGTTTAATCATAATTATCGGGGAGGATCGAGCCCGATAAGATTGGCGAGTGGTTTTTTTTCATCTTACTTTATGTAGTTTTTTTCTCACTATTTCTTTTTGATTACTACTCGTAACAAAAATTTGACAAGTACTATTACGTAAGATAAGTAAGTAAGGATAAGGTTACAATTTAGTAATGATTATGCAAATTATATGTATAAGATAAGAGTTTACATTTCAAATAATGACAAGTACTACATTTCATTTCTTTTTTGATCTCTATGTACGTTAAGTAAGTTTCATTTTACCAATTTCGAGATGGACTGGACGTGTGTTTCGAGTTGGTTGAGTGGTGGAGTAAAATAAAATCAATTCGAGGCGAGGTGTGTGCGGGGGGAGACGTTTTCAGAAGAGCTGAAATAGAAAACTGTAAGTAAATTGGGTAAGAGTTTGGTGGTTATTAAATTTTAAAGATGTTTAAGTATGGAAATGGAATGTGAGTAGAGTTGTACTTATGCTCATAACATTGGAACTTAATGAAACATTAAGATTTTGGGCACATTTTACGGATATTTCTGTTTAAATATTTACGGTGCTGTTTAATTTGATAAGATCCCTGTACAGCGATGACATAAAATTAAAATTAAGTCACACCAAATTTGCAAAGTTGAAGAACAATTGCTGAAACAGTGGTGTTTCGTCGTGTATGTAAAATTTGTCCAAAACGAAAATGAATCGCATTTAAATATTGAGCCCATTCACGCAGTTATTGGTAACTCGTAAAATCCATTCGTTTTGTACATTTTCAAAGTAATGTGACGCCCTTAATCTGATTTGCAAGCTTACAAAAATTTGTAACCTACATTTTGTTCGAAATATGAGTAAAATTTTGTAAGTTTACGGAATTTACGGGTTTTACAATGTTATAAAGATCTGCCTGAATTGATGCGCTGTTTTACTTATTGAGTTAAGACTTGACTCGTTTGTCCCAAATTAATACCCGCAAAAAGACCAAGGTTATCATAAACATGACGAGAATGGGGCTTATTTTCATGTCATGAGCATAAGTACAACTCTATCCATATCTCCAGCTCACTTACACATTTCGAGGACAATTTAGTACACTTTTTGACTATTGTTACATATTATTATGCGAGGAGAGTAGTAGTAGAAGTAGGTAGAAGACTGGTGTGCCCCTTATTTACGTATGCTATATAGGTTTCGGTTGTTTTTTGGCTGGTTGGGGACGATCAGGAGGAGAATAAGTAAACAATTTTCGATTTTTGTTCTTGTTCTTGGCTAAAATTCCGGTAGGTAAAAAGAAGGGAAGAATAATTTTGTGCTTTCTTTCTTGTGAGACAGTTCTCCATGCGAGGATGGGTTCGGTTTGAAATTAATTAGACGTAACTGCGTTGCTTTTCGTTTGTAGTCATTTATTCTCCCCTCCTCTGCTAACGATGACCGCTCGTTTCATACGTGAGAAACAGGGCTACGTCGACGGGCTCCATGCTGGAAGAAAGAATGGGATAAGATGAAATAAGATAAGGTGGTAATTAAGGAGAATGTTTGTAACCCAGTAAAGTTAACACAAATATAGAGACGTCGACAGGTTTAGAGTACATTTCTACCGTAGGACTCGATAATTCATCACCAAAATCTTTAATCAGCGTTAATCGTTAATCGTAAAATCAGCACAGCTTTAATCATTTCTCCGCCTTGGAATTTTATTTTAAAATTGTGGACTAAAAATTTATAGAGCGGGTGGTTCCCAATTAAAAAAATATATTTAGTCCAGATTTTGACACTTTTTGAAGGAGATTTTAAGTTTAAGAAGCCTTATGAAAAACTGAAACTAATCAAAACTGGCTCAAAAACTCAGCGCCATTCCATTAATCAACTCACTGACTACAAATTTGTCGTTAAGACTTTTAAAATAAATTCCTAGAGGTGAAAAATGATAAAAAAATGTGGTGAAACGATTGAAATTTTAACAATTTTGGTAATGAGTTCTATGTTAAATTTCCTCCGTAATCTTATCAAACTTGAAGAAATTACGCTTGTAAATTTTACTACTGGGTTACAAAAATGTGCATCATATATTTAAAAATATTGCTCTCTTGCGTACCAAGATGGACACGTAAAACTTCGCATCAGCCAATCGTCAATGCATTTGACATGATAGACATGCATGCAAGGCATGTACCGGACTCGGTCCCCAGGAACAAAGTCAATCATACAGATGACGCATCTGGAATTAAATTTCGAAAATGAACTCAAACCAGAAAAAGATCAAATTTAGACTCTAATCTCACTCTCGGGGTTTGGCAGACTCATCAAAAACGCCGGAAGGCAAGTGTTGTATGAGTCCCATTCTCTTGGCAATTTTTATCTGTTCCTCCTCCGTCAATTGATTCAGGGGGCGGCGGACGTTTGGCGAGGGGTAGTATTCAGGCACGTTGGATTCCTAAATATAATTAGTAATTAATTAATTACAATTAAATGCAGACAATAGAGACTTAGAGATTTTTTGTATTTTTACTTGTACTGTACTGTGACTACAGTACAATACAAAAATTAGTACAAAATTCAAAAGACCTAGAGAATTTCCATTATATTGTACTCTGAAAAATTGTATTGTAAAACTCCGCGAAATAGATGCGTCAAAAATTGAGACAAATCAACTCATGATATACGAAATGAACCCCCTCCCACAAAGTGTGTATAAAATGTTCAAAACTACAAATTCGACATTTTTGACCTTTGACCTCGTTTACAACAGTCACCAGGCTGATGTAAGCCGAAATGATAGTGATTTATGAACTCCCCGCCTCAAACTAAACACGACTGCAACGGTCCAAATAAAAATTCAACATTTTTGACCTTTGACGTGGTCACGGGGTCTTCGTATGTTAAAACTGTATCGATTTCTGAAATTCTCGCCCAAGCCGAAGTCTAAAACATTCGACACTTAAATTTTGACCTTTGACCTCGTCCTCTCGGTCATGGGTTGGTCGGAGGTCAAAAGTATTGACGACAATGAATTCTCGGTGAAATTTCCTTTAAAATGACACCGCATATGAAAATTAAGGTAGAACATTGCGTTTACTTCAAGCCAAGGTGACCTTGACCTTGACCTCAGGGAGCCCATTTTCGAAATCGACCTAGGGTCAAAAATTAGTAGCGAAATAGCGAAAACGGCGTTAGATTATATTGAGGCGTTCAAGAGATATCCTACTTGCCAACGCTTGATTTTCCACAGTAGTACAAACTGAGCCCGTGTTTCAATTTGTCTACTGTAGACTGTAGAATTAGTACAAAAAGCTGATGACGTCATCATCTAGAGTCCACAGTACAGTCTACAGTCAGAGTACAAGGAATCTCTAACTCTCTAATGTCGGTATTCACGTTAACTCCGTCGTAAACGTCGCTTTGTAACGTATCTTCGCAACTTGCCAAGAATTACGGTGCGACAGGACTAATTAGATTGCTTTATTTTGTTACTAAATATTCGCGACACTGATTCACAAACATGCAAAGCTGCGGATTGCTTTATTTTTTTGCGAAATATAGGTCCTATTTCGCAAAAAAAATCGCAAAGATGCCAAGATGTTTTGCGAAGTGAAGTAGTTGGAAATCTCATTTTTCCCAGATTTGGTGTAAATATGTAGTGAGTGAGGATGTGACGGAGAAATGACGTCCAAAAGTGGGTACCCTCACCCTCTTTTCCAAGAAATGAAATGCCATGCGAGAATTCAGTCAAGTTGGAGTAACCACAACAACAAACAAGTGAGACTCTTGTTTTGCAGATGAAACCAGATTTCGTCTCATTTTTCCCATCCTTGTTTTTCTGCCGAGGAGATTGGTAATCTCGTATTTAGGTAGTGAGAAAGTCGTAAAACTTTAATGGGGAGAGATTAGTATTTTGCAAGTTATAAGAGGACTTTGTGAACTTATCGACTTTTTTGTGGAGCATGGAATTAAGAGAGAATGGATATTTAGTTATTTTCAGATTTTTAATTTGATGACAAGTTTCAGCCTTTATGATTTATTTGTGATTTATATTTATTTATGAAAGTATTCATGATTTTTTCGATATTTAAAGCTTTCCAAAAATATAAATGTTTTAAAAATTGAAATATTTCATAGATTATGAAAGAATTTATATAAAAAATGGGCAAAATGAGTGGCTGATGATTTCACATTTTTTCTAGTTTGTCCATATTTTCGTTAATATTCTTCTCCTTGTGCGGACAGGATCGAGGAGATCTTTCTTGGCACCTGTTCCAGTATCTACAACCAGTGGCCGCGGAAGCTGTGGGGACATGTGGGGACATTAACATATTAGGGTAGAGGAGAGACGGATTCTATATAAGATGGGGAGATGATGCGGACATCGAACAACCGTGGGGACATTGTCGCCACCCTTCCGCGGCCACTGAGAGTCGAAACCAAGTAAGAACATATTTACATAAGCAACTTTGAGATAATGCATCGTCAACAATACTGCGTCCACGTCCAGTCCAGTCCAGCGACGGGGTCAACTTCTTCTTCAACCAGGGCTCATTTATCCATCTTTAAAATGTCAAGATTGACTATAACTATAATTAATAAATGAATAACTATAATTAATAATTATAATTAAAGTTAATGAATAACTATAATTGATTAGATGGCATGATAAGGATACCGATAATTGATACGATGTTAGGCGGCATGATAAGCATCCATAGTTGATACGTCATTGATACGTCAGTATGTATCTACATATACATGTCTATGCGTCATTCCCACGCTGAGTGACCCATTTTTTATCTTAAAGTCAAAAAGTGATTTCGTAATTTCGCTTTCACTGGGAATTTAACGCCGACATGAAAAAGACGGCAATGAATGTTAAGTAAGTACATACACAGTTAATTACTTAGTTATTTAGTTAAATAAGCTTGAATATTAATCTCTATATTTTCACAGGCTCAAAATACCTTAACCCAGCACACAAATAGCCCTCACTTGAAATAATAATCAATTAAAAGCATAATTTAATTAATGTATGTTCAAAATAAGTCAATTTTTATCATGAGGTTAACGGCTGACATTGAAGAGTCTGTCGCCTTGTTTAACCCCTTTAATCTTAGTAGCGTCCAATTGTTTGAACAAGAATTCAAGATCTGTACTTATTCTTGCATCCGTCCGACACAACTCGGAATACGTTGACGGGTGCCCGTTCGAAGCAGAACGGTGTCCCCTTAAATCTCGAACGCCCCAACAGCTTGCCTCGGACGGCATCATAAACCATACCTCGCAATGAACGTAACGTTGACGTAACCAAAACGGTCCATGGACCACAAAAAAATTGGCCCATCGATGAACCATGGACCATGGTTCATGGTCCAATTTACTGCGAGCATGCCATGAACTCGACAATCGCTGAACAAGAAAAGAAACACGTAATTAATGTAGGACTCGATGACGCATCAGCAATTTTAAATCTTTTCACGACTCTGGCAATTTATTTTTGCCTAGAAGCCTCATTTCACCTGGAAATTCATTCCTTAATTAATGCTGTATAAAAATAGATGAGAAAGAATAATCAACTCAGAAATTTGCATTCTTATTAAACGTCTCACTTTCAAAGTAGAATTTATTACCGAATACATTACCGGACGCAGAAAATAATATCACTTGACTCCACTAATCACAATACTCTAATACAACTTAACATAATCCATTTTCAGACTAGAATATCGAATCGTTAAATATTTATAATTATAAACTTTGGTTCAGTTCGTGACGATAAATTCAGAGGTTGTTCGTAGCATGAATTTCATACAGATTTATGTTTACCATTGTATCGTATTGTGAATTATGGCGACATATTTTGTAATAAACGAACATTATCACAGAACAATTGCAGAGACAGAATCCGGCTCTGTCTGCACATCTCATTGCATAATTTTCAATACCCGACCAACGCTGGCTTATACGTTGCTTGTCTATTTAACAAAAATAATACGGATGTGATAAGCGATAATTAAATATATGATTCTAATTATTACTAAATTTTACGTAATAACAATAACAAAAGTGTGATGTAACGGGACACATGTGTAGAGAGAGAGAGGGGATGAAAATCATAAAGGTATGTTTACAAGAAACTTGCGCCAATGTTATACTTTAACTATGGCGCAAGTTACCAACGAATGAAGTGTATGTAAACGCACCTTAACTTTCTAATAGTTAATACATAGGAACGGTCGTGTCTAGTTTTTAAGGTATTCGTTAGTTAATTAGGATCAGTCTGTTTCTTTGTTGGGTGTGGATTTCAGGGAAATACTGGGATATCATCGTCGTCCTTTGGTTTTGTCGTTTCTAGTTAGTTAAATTTCGACTTAAAGTAACTTGCGGGAATAGGAGATTAATTAATCATAATTACACATTTAGTTTTAACTACGTGATTAACAAAGTTGAAAATATAAATCATAATTCAATTTTTATATAAATCATCGACTATTTACTTGCTTACTGGACTAATTAAGCTTACTACAGAGTAGAAATTACATCAAGATTTCATAAAATATATATAATTCTTCTGTTAGTTTTTACTTACACGCGGACATTATTTATTTAGATATGTAAATGTATTTATAGGGACGATTAATATTATAGCGGTGTCGTTGAGATGAGATAGTTGACGTTGACGTTAGTTATTTGTTGAGTGACCAGTTATGCAACTAATTAATTAGGAACACTGGGTATACGTGGTAATCATGTTGCCCACTTTTTGCGTCACGGTGCGACACTTGTTGCCCGAGTTGGCGTTGGGATGACCACCGAAGCGTGCGAAGGCTTGTTGTTGTTGGTGATGATGACCGTGATCATGACCATCGTGGTGATGACCTCCTCCTCCGCCGAAATGGGTGCCAAAAAAGGAGTCGCCACCACCGAAGGAGTGCGCGTCAAAGCCACCGAAACCTTCGTCCTCCTAAAAATAATAGCGAGTAGACATTATACTTTCTGATTTTTAATTTAAATGTTCAAAGAAAGGGTGGTTAAATTAATTAACAAATAAATATTTGAATGGCAATTTTAGCATTTTACTCGATGACTCATTGCCAAAATCGTCATCATCAGCTAATTTTTAATCATTTCTCGGCTCTGGGAATTTATTGTAAGATTTCTGACTTTTTGAAAATGTACACCCCAGATTTTGACACTTTTTGAAGGAGGGGATCTCAAGCTCAATTGGAACTTATCGAAACTGGCTTACAAAGCACACTGCAATTCCATCAATCAACTAACTCACTCACTACAAATTTGTCGTTCAGAATTTTAAAATAAATTCCCAGATAGGAGAAAGGATTAAAAATGTATTGATTTTGACAATTTTGATGATGATTAAGCTGCAAATCAAGTCAAACGAATCAGTAGATTGGATTATCATCTTACATCGTTGAAAAAGTCTTCAAACGTGAAGAATCCGCCTCCTCCACGTTGCTGATTCTCTTGTCGTTTCTGTTGCTGGCTGTGACCACCGCCGCCGAACGAGTAGTGGAATCCTTCATCGCCACCACCGCCACCAAATCCAGGGAAGTCGAAACCCTTGAAGAAGTCGTCGAAATTAAAGTGGAATCCGCCACCGCCGCCACCACCACCACCCCCACTGGAGAACGTGTCATGACCAAATTGGTCGTATTTCTTCCTCTTCTCGGCATCAGTGAGGACCTCGTAAGCTATAAAATTGAAGAAACCTATGTTAAACTGGAGTTTTACAAGTAATTTATCACTCACAAGGGAGGTTTCCAAGCTTATGCTCTCCGATTTTGGGCACATTCGTATCAATCGATCACAAATTTCGTTAGTATGAAATTTGCGAAAGACCCAATCTCCCAATGGACACGTTTAACAGAGATATTTGCATCCGAAGAGGAGAAACCACGCAGAAAAATTTGGAAAGTCTAAAATTTATCAGCTTTACTGCTTGTTTTCTCCTCTTCTGATGTAAATTTCTCTGCCAAACGTGCCCATTGGGAGATCGTGTCTTTCACAAATTTCATACTAACTAAATTTATCATCGATTTACACTATTTTGCTCAAAATCGGATCGCATACGCTGGTCTACCGGGCTACTCCATTCTCAGATATGCACATACCTTCCGCCATCTCCTTAAACTTTTCCTCCGCCCCCTTCTCCTGATTCTTGTCGGGATGGTATTTCACTGCCAGTTTTCGAAACGCTTTCTTAATCTCGCGATCCTTTGCGGTCCGTTTCACCCCCAGAATTTCGTAGTAATCGCGTTTCTTTACTTCGGCCAGGACCAGTTCGGTGAGGAGGAGGAGGAACATGACCCCGTTGATGAGGGAAAGGGCATTTTTCACTTCCATCTTCTGACCAGTGGGGTTGAATCAAATCCAAGTTCTGAAATTAGCCAATTATTTAATGAACATAATTAATTGATTGATATGTTTTAAATAAATATGTCGCATGAGCATCGTCAGCATAAGTACGGCTTTTCACCTCTGTACTGCAGACGATTTCAAATTTATGCACGATTTATGTATTACATAATATGTAAATCATACATAAATTTAAAACTACAAACTAAGAAATGATCAAAAACCTACGTATCTACATTACAAAAGTCAAACCAACCAAAATTACAAATCATTAAAACTTGTCCATACCTTTAAACTGATTCCCGAACTTTTTACACTGCCAATTACTGAAATTAGTCAATTAATCAATTAATTCACATTCCTTACAAAATTCAAACTAACCAAAATCACAAATAGAAATAAAAACTTGCTCACACTTTTCTGATGTAATTCCCCAACTGCAAATTTATATTCTCCAATAATCCAACCCACCACAAAAATTATAATTTCTTTAATTAACACCTTTCCAAAAAAAATAATACTTATAAATTCTTGCTACGACTGATTCTTGCTAAGTACACGTACGTGCAGATGATTAAGTAACAGTGACAATTTTTTTCTCTCTCTCGTGCACCTTTCCTTTGTTGTGATGCGTTTGCAATTAAACTGGTTCACAATTTCGCAAGACGTTACCTTATATATTGGCACAAAAATTGGAATGCAAATGTGCAGAATTTGCAGCCCATTAGTCGAGAAGTAGACGAGTATTTCGCGGATTGGTTGGAGCCGACCCGCTCGCAATTCTCAAATTTTGGGCCGCCTTCTTCTCCTTCTCCTCTGTTTTCCGTGCAATTTAATTTTTTTTTTGTATGGTTAGGTTATCATTAATTAGTTAAATAATTAAATAAGTTAATTTAGTATTTATTTAACTGAGAGAAGGAAAAAATATATAGCTTCACCGTGGCGGACGAAGTGGAGGGGATGGATATCTCGTTAAACGGGGGGGACGATCAAGGCGGCCCCGTCGATAACGAGGAAGATGACGACGACGATGAACCCATCGTCGTCACGTCGGCGGAGGTTTTGCAGAGATTGGAACACGTAAGATTTGATGAGGACGAGTAGTCTTTGATGAAGAGATGATTAAGTTAATTGTGTATTTAAAAGGAGTAAAATTGTTATCTTGTAGGGCTGGATGAATGAGAAAATGTCGCCGGAACTGCTGCCCCCCTTGGAACAGGAGAAGGATGCGATGCTTGGGCAGATCAAAGTTATGGAGAGAAATGTCACCACCCTGGATAAGAGGGATGTTCGGACGGATATTCATAAATTGGAGGTAGAATAAGTTAATTAAGATGTATTTTATTTATTGGAATATTTGGGTCTAACTTAATCAAGGTTAAGTTAATGCAGTAAATTAGCATGACTCGTCGCCAACATCATTTGTAATCATTCCTCCGCTCTGGGAATTTATTTTAAAATTCTGGACGGCTAATTTGTAGAGCAGGTCGTTCCCAATTTAAAAAAAATATCCATTCCAGATTTTGACAGTTTTTGAAGAAGGAGATCTCAAGTTTAAGAAGCGTTAAGAAAAATTGGAACTCATCAATACTGGGTTATAAACCTCACCATCATTCCATTAATTAACTCACTAACTGCAAATTTGTCGTCCAGAATTTTAAAATAAATTCCCAGAGGCGAGAAATGATTAAAAATGTGTTGATTTTGGTGACGAGCCATCAAATCCTATATTAATTACATTTTAAGTGACAATTATATAATAATTCTGAAGAGTTATAAATACTAAATCTGCTTCTTAACTAATATTTCTATAGCTCGAAAGGATAAAGTTCGTCGTGGTATCGTACATGAGGACACGATTCTTTAAAGTCCAGCGCATGTCGTTCACTCTGTACGAGGCGGAAATGAAGCGATCACGAAACCAAGAGTCCATCCTTTTCAAGGAGGAGTTCACCTTCCTAAAAAATTTGGTCACCCGGACGGCCGACTACTTCAAGGCGACCCTCATCTCTAAAATGCCTCCCGTACTGCAGAAATTTGAAATCAAGAAATTCCGAGTGCTCCCACAGTTCGATGCGTTCGTCTTTTTTCGTGTCCTGCAAAACCAAACGGTGCAAGTGGAGGTTAACGATGAGTAAGTTTTAAAAATTAGGAAAATTTAAATAAGTCAGAGGTCAACATCGCCGATCGTCGCGCCGCCACGGGCGACAAATCTGATTTCCTATTCCTTCAAGCGTGGGTTCGATTTATGGCGCAAACGCCGGGAAATGAAAACTGAACCGTTGCTGTTGGGGGACCTTTTTTGACGGGATTTCCCCCATTTTCCGGGACAAAGACAGACATCGAACCCACGCCTTTAACATTGTGACGCCGCGCATCCGACGCCAACGAAAAAATAACCAAAATTTACGCCCCCGCCGCAAAATTGATCGGCGTTGTTTGTTGACCTCTGAAATAATCCCCCCAAAAAACTTACACATTTCTTCTTCTTTTTCCAGAATTCTCACGATCGAATTGGAAGAAGGAGATCTCCACTTTATGCGGTACGAACCCATCGCCCATCTCCTCGCCGGTGGAGCCATCCACCTCGTATGACGACCCAGGAAATTAACGAAACGCTAATTAATTAATTACATAAATACGTATACAAAATCATATTTAGAGGCTGATTACATATCTAATTACGTAGGGTGACGAAATGATAATGACACTAATAATAATTTTAGGCTGGGTATTTTATACTTTATTTAATTATTCTACCACCTATTTAAATATGTACACCTGTGATCTTAACGTTCAACTCTAAATTTCACGGAAAACCGTGCACTTATCATAGATTTAATAAAAACCTGTCCTAAACTACTCACTTATCTCTGGAGGAAGAAAGATGTGTTTTTTTATGTACATTCACATGAGGCCAAGATAATTCGGATGGTTTTGTTCGTGGGTAGTTATTGATCTGGTGAGGACTACTCTCGCCGGAGTCGCCGGTACGTGTAATTATTGATCTGATGTGCATGGTATGGTTGGTGGAGGGTCTTGCGAGAGCGGATATGGAATCAATATCAAGAGCACATGGGTTCTTTGTTGTTCCTCGAAAAAGTAGGGGAGCCATGTGCTCCGCATCTGATCCGATGATCAATAAGCCACCCTTGCTGCTCGTCGCCAGTCAACCCTAAAAGCCAATCCACCCTCGCGCCACCATCACCACCCCCACGCCGCCAACGACGACGACAAGGTCAACGCACTCAAAATCCGAGAGGAACAAGGTGCTCTCTCATCCCCACAGAAAATTAGTCATCATCCTCAGTGGCTGCGGAAGCTTGAGGGGACAGGGGGAGAATGTCCCCATCTTATATGAACCCGGCCCTTCCCCCCGTTAATGTCCCCACTACTTCCTCCACGGCCACTGATCATCATTCCCCATCCATCCAGGACACAAATCCTCTCTAATAAAAGGGGCTTTCTTACTTCATTGAAGGGCAACAACCAAACCAACTTCCTGTCTCCACCAGCCACCAAAAAATTTAACAAAAAGTCAGTCACTCAGCTCAGCAAGGAGGAGGAGGAAAATCCGGGCGGAAAATAATACCCGTCTTCCGAGACACACATACACGGGTAGTAGTAGTAGAAGAAGGAGAGGAGGAAGTACATACAAATGCATGCATACATACACATTCTCCCTAATATTTGGACATGACGTAACGTAACAACAACTCATTGTCGTCGTCATATTATACACACACATATCTCTTCTCTTCTCCCTATAGCTTAATAATATGGAGGGTTGTTGTATGTATAATACCCACTTCGGATCGGAGGGTGGTTGGCCTGCCTGCCTGGAACCAGGCAGGTGTGCTTGTATCCATCCACGCCACGGAAAGGCAGCTGCATAATGAAATCCTCTCTGAGCGTCCACAGCTCTCTTCTAGGCGCCGTTCATAAAGTATGTAAATTATTACGAGAGGGGGGACGGGGGGGTCTATCATATCGTGCTTATGTGACACATGTTAAAGGAGGGGGGAAGGGGGGAGGGTCTAAAAAATCCCGAATCCTTCCCGCACAGCCCCCTCCTACCCGGGTACTCGTTACCATTACCCGGGTTGCCTTATTGCTGGCTCCAGAAATTAGAGAAGAGGGAAGGTGGTTGCTTTCGCCTTAAGTCAGTTTTTGGGGTTGCTTTGACCAACAATACTGCACGTTTCTAAAGAAAAAATTCAAAATTTCAGCAAATTTATCAAACTAAAAGAAGAAAAAAACTGATAAATTCTTCCCTTATCCCCAAAAAAAGTAATGGGTGCCCCCCACCCGGGCATTTTCGGCTACCCTTTCCGATCCTCGGATCGGAGTGTTGCCTGCCTGCGCACACTTGTTTCTCGTACGTAGTCAGTCACCACTTACTTGGCGAATACGACGACGACGGACCACCACCACCGCCACCAGCTCCACAACATGGGCGAAGAAGGCGAAGAATAGCTCGGAAGAGAGAGAAAATCCTGTCAAAGTAACAATTATATCTTCTTCCAACCAAACCAACCAGCCATCCCCCCGAATGAAAGAAAGAAAGCCACCATACCATCGTCTGTCCTCCTCCTCTCGTCCACCACCACCACCAACAACAACAACTACCACCAACCAATTCTCCAGAAAACTCATTAACTAACTAACCAACTAATTAGTTAATTATTTTGTGGGTGACTCGCGTTCCGAACAATAATCCAAGCCAGGATTGCGACGATATGTTGATAACACGGGCGCGGAGAAGGAGGAGAAGATGTTAAGTTAAAGAATGGACAAAATTTTGTTAAAAAAATAATTGCGTATTTCCGAACAGAGAAAGTTAAGTTAACGGTTTGGTTGGTTGGGTGTTGATGAGAGTGTAAAAATGGGAAACATATATATATTTTCAGAAAAATAAGAACATTCCTTTAATAATCTGCGCAGTCATTCCGTTAATATAATTAGTGTGAAAGTTTATTACCAAAAAAAGGTGACGATTTTTGTCACCCCTTCATCTTCTAGTCCGGCAAGGAAACGATCTCTGTACTGTAAAAAGACTTGACTGACTGAAAAAAGTTTAACTTTATTATGGAACCCTGATCTCAATTAGTTAACCTAACTCTGCATTAATTGTGATACAGTTTTGTGTATAAATGTCTCCCCTCATCGGCTGATAAGTCATTGTCGTCGCCTTTGTCGCCGTGGCACGTTAGAAAAGAAGAAAGCATGCTTTTCGGAATGAAAACAGATCGATGGTTAAATCAATACTTGGCGTTTCGATCCACACACAACCATCAATCGAATAAGTTGTAAGTGTGTAAAGAATTCATCTCTGCTTCTTCAAATGTCAATCTGCTGAGTGACCTTTTCCTCTGGGGGGAAAGAATCTATTCGTGTCATGTCCCCACCCACCACCATCCTGGATGCATATGCTCGGATTTTCCAGGTTTGCCCATTCTAATTAAAGACACCTAGCCCTTCATTTCTGGGAGAGCTTTCCTCCCTGCCCCCCCCCCTCCACCCCCCACGTTTCGGGGGTATTATTATGTTGGCAGCCGTGGGGTCCTCCTGTTTCCCAGACGGAACGTCCATGATGGACTCTCTCACCGAGCAGGACCTCGTCGACCACTGCGTCATCGTGGGTCCCGGCCAACAACAGACTTCCTCCTCCTCCGTCCCCTCTGCGCCTCCGGAAGCCACCCTCGAAATCGAGGTCGAACCCCACCCCACCCACCACATCGAACTCGACGACAACGACCACCTCCCCCCCTCCACCCCAGAAGAAGAAGAAGATCCCTGCCCCCAAGAAGACGATGACCACGAAATCATCACCACCCAACAAGAAGACCCTTCCCCCCAACAACTCACCACCACCACGACGACGCGAATCGTATACTCACACTCGGCCAGACTAGGTGGCCAACTCGTCACCGTGCTCACCCACGCCCCCCACCCACCCGACCCCCACCAACTCAGTCACACCCACTTCGCCACGGTCGACGGCTCCGAACATTCACACCATCGCCTCCTCGTCGTCGTACCGCAGGGGTCGACGTCGAGCTCTGGGACGGGAAATAACCCGGGTAACGGTGGTGGTGGCCCTAATACTACCCGACTCCACAGTCTCCTCACAACAAAGCCGGGCGAACTTCACCACCATCCCACAGTCCTCGTCCACTCTTCACCGCAGCAGCAACAGCAGCACGCCGTTCATCAACAACATATTACCAACAACCAACAACTTATCCTGCACCACCACGGCCAACAACACGTCAACTTTTCCGACGGTGACGATAACCCTCCCCCGGAAGACTTATCCATCGTCCCCTCCTCCCCGCAGCAGGACGAAGACGACGACAACCACCATCATCACGATATCCTGTCCAAATCTCATCAACACCACCACCACCTCGCCACCCTCACCGTCATAGTGCCCCCTTCCTCGTCCTCGCACCACCACCAAATCACCGCTAAAGAAGAACTAATCGACCCCACCCCCGAGGAAGAGGACGAAGAACAAGTCCACCATCAACACCTCCACCTCCAACAAGAAGACGACGATCACGACCCCCACGGTGGGGCGGGTGGCGAATCCACCACCATGATCTGTGACGGGGCCGAGTTCCGCTTAAATTCGCATCACCACCACCACCACCACCACACCCACCATGCGATCGACCACCACGGCCAGGTCGTTACTGTCGTCGGGTATTCCCCCTCGAATAATGGGCGTCTCTCGCCCTCCGGGGGGCCCGGGGGGGATGAGTACGAGCACCATTCTCCTTCCTCGAACAATAATAATAACGCGTCCTCCCCGACGAACTCTTCCTCCCAGAATAATTCTTCTTCGTCCCCCTCCGTCTCCACGAATGGGGGGCAGTACGCGACCCTCACGCCGCTCCAACCGCTCCCCCCGATTTCCACGATGACGGATAAGTTCACTTATCAGTCGTCCTACCATGCTCACGCGCACCACCACCACCACCACTCGCACAACGGGGGGATGGTGACTGGCCTGTATTCCAGTGGGGGCGGGGGCGTTTCGGGGGGTGGTGGGGGGTATGAAGTGGTCAAGTTGAGTATGAGTCCGACCCCGGGACAGCAGCAGCATCACGGGCATTACGGGGGGACGGGTGGGGGAGGTTCCCCCAGTGGGAATAATGGGTTGGGGTCGCCATCCTTTCATCATCACCAGCAGCAGCAGCAGCACCATCAGCAGCAGCAGCAGCAGCATCACCACGGGGGGCAGAATGGGGGGTTGTCGAATTCGCCCAAGGCGCTAAGTCCGGGGGAATATGGGGGTGGGGGTGGGTTTCGGGGGAGAGGGTCGGAATCCCCGTCGGGGGAGGAGCAGCACCATGTCGGACATCATCAACAGCAACAACTCAATCTCACTTTTACGACGGTCAACCAAAGTTCGAGTAACGGGTTGAGTCCGCAGCATCATAATAGTTCCAATTCACACTCAAGCCCACCACTCACCGCGGTCGTGGTGGCGCACAGGTCAGTAAAATTAATCATAATTTTTTTAAGATCGCGACTAATTTAGCAAGTTTGAGAAAGTCAAAAAGTTACTTGTGTTGTGAGGAGATTCGCAAAGTATGACTTCGTAAATTGAGCAAACTTACGTATAAAAACAGCGTTTTTAACCGTGTTAATACGAATTTCTGTATTTTACATATCTTGCTGGGAATGAGTTTAACAAAATAATGTCGTAAAATAAAAACATGCTCATTTCCTGAGTAAATTTCCGAACAAAAATCCCATATTTTCTAACAGAAGTTTTCTTAAATGTCTCAAATTTACGTATAAAAACAGCATTTTTGACTAAAGAGGAATTTTCGGATGACATGGTTTTTCATGACCGCATTTTTGACATTGTTTCCACAAATAATTTCCAGTAATTTATCTTGCTGGGGATGAATTTGTGAAATTGTTTTGCGAAATAAAAAAATTACTGAGTAAATTTCCTAAAAAAAGTATCATAGTTTTCAACCAAAATTTGTGAAATGTCGCAAATTGTACATATAAACATGTACATATAAACAGATATTTTAACCTTGTTTCCTCGAATTTCTGTAATTTACATATCTTGCTGAGGATGAATTTCACTAAATAATTTCGCGAAATAAAAACATTTCCTCATTTCCTGAGTAAGTTTCCGAACAAAAATCTCACCCTTTTCCAGCAAAAGTTTTGTCAAATCTCGTAAATTTCGCAAAACCTCTCAATTTACATATGTTGCGGTACTCAATTTTGCGAAGATATGCGAAGGTTACGCTCACTAATCTTCCCCCCAGAACAAAACCTGACTAAAATCCCCCCTCTCCCCTTTTACAGAGACGCCAACTCACCCTCCTCCCTCCTACATCCGGTCCTCCACTCGAGTAAGACGAACGCTACGACGATAAGTACCCCGGCTGGGTCGGGGGGATCTACGTCCTCCTCGACCGGCTCGACTTCCGGTGGCGGCGGGGGCGGCGGTGGGGGTGGAGAACTCGAAGAAATCAACACCAAAGAACTCGCCGCCCGGATTTCCGCCGAGCTGAAGCGCTACTCCATTCCGCAGGCGATCTTCGCGCAGCGCGTGCTCTGTCGCAGCCAGGGCACGTTGAGCGACCTCCTCAGGAATCCCAAACCCTGGAGCAAGCTGAAAAGCGGGAGGGAGACGTTTCGCCGGATGTGGAAGTGGTTGCAAGAGCCCGAATTTCAAAGAATGTCTGCTCTCCGTTTGGCAGGTGAGTACAAATGAGTATTCAGAATTTGGCATCATTTCGCATAATGGGCATCCAGCAATTAAATCATCTATTTAGCTCATTAAGAATGGAGCTCTCCCAGTGCATTCTTCAAAAGTTTGCCAAAGTAGTGCCAATCCGATAGCAAACTTAGGATTAGTCTATGAAATTTGCAACAGAAACGATCTCGTCTCACAAGGGAGATTTTCCACCGTATGCTCTTAGATTTTTACCAGTGTCAATTCGGTCACAAATTTAGTTATGTAGTATGAAATTTGCAAAGGACGCGATACGCACGTTTGGCCGAGATATTCGCATCCGAACAGGGGAAAATTTGCAGTAAAGCTGGAAAGTGTAAAATTTGTCTACTTTAAGAACCTAATTTTTTGTCGTTATCAAAATACGTTATCATGATTTTTAAAATATGCAGTATTTTGCCTCACTAACAAAGTACATACGTCTCCCAGCGTATGCTCTCCGATTTTGACCAAAATAGTCTCAATCCATCATAAATTCAGTTAATCCGAAATTTGCAAATGATACGATTTCCCAATGTTCACGTTTAGCCGAGATATTTGCATCCGAAGAAGAGAAAACGCGCAGTACATAAATTCGAAAACTGTAAAATTTGTCGCCTTTACTTCCCTTTTTATCCTCTTTTTTCTGTCTTTCGCTGCCAAACGTGTCCATTAGTAGATCACATCTTTTCCAAATTGCATCAAATTTGTCATCGATTCACACTATTTTGCCTAAAATCTGATCGCATACGCTGGTCCACCTCCATTGTTTGTTCCTGAATTTTATCCCGTTTCACCCACCAAAGTCTCACTTTCCTCCCGGGTCGTCATGGCGATTGGGACGGCAAACAGAGAGAGAGAAAGATAGTGGTCGTCGTCGGAAGGAGAGGGTAGCCGAGTCTGGCTGGATGGATGTGTATCCGGTCGGTGGGAGAAACAATTGGATCATACCTTGAAAAATGAGTCATCCACGTGTCCATCCATACATGTGTAGGTTATGCATAGGCAAATGAGTAGTTGGTGGGTCATGGTCTGCTGGAGGTGGGGAGGTGATCCGACTCTCCACCACCTCCACCCACTACGGATACATACACTTTTACTTTACATACTACCCGGAAGGCAGGTGAGCTATGTATGCATCGTGATGAAACGTGTAGATATGTCTGCATCTGGTCTGGTCTGCCGGGGTAGTAAGTACCATTTTTTAATCAAATCTATGTATCCATCCCCGAATATCAGGGCAGCAGCTTAGCTTATACACATTATAAAAAAACCGATGTGTATGCATTTTTTGAGACTGGGGTGATTTTGATTTGGATGAATATCTATGTATTTCAAAGGATTAATGATACATATGTTTCCATTTTTTGGTCGTGGTTACTGCTTCCGTAGGAAACTTTCTTGGGCTCATCTTATCTTTGGATAAGGTCGTGACCGAGATAGTATTGTAAATATGTGTGTAATTAACTGGTACTTGGTTAGAAATCATTGCGTCATCCCCTGAATTTATAGACATTATAAAAACATGCTTTTTGAGATTGGGATGATTTTGATTTCTATAAATATTTTAAAGGATTACATGTTTGCATTTTTGGTCGTGGTTGCTGCTTCAGTAAGAACCTTCTCGGACTAACCTTATCTTTGGGTGGATAAGGTTGTGACGGAGATAGTGTAAATCTGTTAATTGATGCACTGTGTAGTAATCGTTAAAAGCTGGATGCATTGTCGTATCCTGCTTAATTTTTGTTGCATAATCCTGCCCGAAATTTGTATCCGTTTTAGCAGAACGGAATTTGCACATCCTTTTATGTCCATAGTTTTCCCTACAAATCGCTCCGTATCAAGTTTTATTTTTCTGGCGAAAATTTGGCGAAAAAAGTTTATATTCGGGATGACATGGTTGCATTTTTGGTCGTGATGATGACGCTTATTTGTTACAAAACGTTCCCTTTCTCATCTTTGGAGAAGGCCGTGACCGAGATAAATATGTGCACTAATTGGTACTTGATTTCAGCCTGGTGGCGAATATGCATAGTTATTTATGCTAATTGTTGCCATCCCAAAACCTGACCTGGTGGGTGGGTATGGGTGACACCCAGCAGGGTATAGAGCTTATCTGTACGAGTCATCTCCACCACCGTAAAGGACGTGCACATGCGAATATGTATCTGAGCTCATTATGAGCATGATACATACACTATTTAATAGGGAAGGAGGATGGATATCCATCCAGATAAGGGAACTAATAGAGCATTAATTATGCCCCGGTTATCCGATATTGTCCAGTCCTCCGCCATTATTATTATTCCGTTTCATAACCTTATCTATCTTGGCCTAATAAGTACTTATCCTTGGTTAGTTAGTGAAACCTCAGACTTTAATGTACATAGTTACCCCTTCCAGTAACGTAATCCTATATCCGCGTCCGTGTGGTTCTTGGTTATCGAGGTGGTTTTATAGTCGAAAGTCATCTTTCATGTCACTGTGCATGGGAAAAAATGAGAAAGGGTTGAGTATATGTACGTATTCGTTGACCATTAGTCGCGTACCGTATTTAATGATAAGGCGAATGGTGATCTGCAAGCAAATTGCTGATAAGTTACTGGCTAATAATGTCATTAATATCATCATCAGTCTCAGCGTCACCGTGGGTTATGCAGAGGGCGGATATGTATTTACGAAATTCGTTAAAATATTTACAAAATATGTACGAAAAAACATAAAAATACGAATTTTAGCAAAAGTTTTGTTTAAATATAAATCTCTCAATTTCTTTTTGATCTAATTTCCTTAATCAAAAAATTTCGTTACTCCCATCGTTTTAATCTTTACAAAATATATTCGTACTTTTAAAAAATGTGTAAAAAGTGTACGTATTTTTTAAATAATCGCGGAAATATTTGCATATCTGAAAACCTAGAAATATGTAAATGTTGAAGTTTTCACGAGTTGGACAACACATCCACAAAGTTTGACCGTTTGCCGTCATCAAATGAAAAAGTTTGTAAATGCATACATATCCTTCCTCTGGTGATGCGTCTTGCTGGACTGACGGACAAGGTTTTTTTTGGGGGTAAAAGTTGAGAAAATGTAGGCGTTCTACGTATCCTAAAGGTCACTCCTCAAAACGCTGTACGTACTCCTGTAGCACGTCACCTTCGTCCAAATTTGACATTTCCTCCATTCCATTGCATCCCATCCATCCCTCCACCTACTTCTTAAAGAGGTGGACGTACTTATGTACGTCCATACCTACGTACACGGCATGACATTAACTCGCATTACAATTTCTCGCAGTGGCCACGGAAGCTGTGGGGACATTACCATTGTAGGATAGGGGGAGGGACGGGTTTGTATAACCTGGGAAGGTGATGGGGACGGACATCAAATAACCGTGGGGACATTGTTCCCACAGCATCCGCAGCCACTGATTTCTGGTCTGACGTGATGATGATGATCTTTCCGCATTTCTTCTCGAGAACGGGAAGCTTATACTCCTTCTCGAGCACATAATTTTATGTGACATTTTTATGTGAGTTCGGAACTTGCATTGGTTCGTTAGTAAATACATAGTGCGATTTATTCCAGAGAAGTGATGGCTTCAAATTAGCACGTTTTCTGCAAAAAATAGCAAATTCCCCACAAAAAAAAACACAGAAAGTTTCATCCCCTTATTTCAAGTCCAAGAAACCAGATTTAAGAAATGCATCCATACAAGTTTCTGAGCAATTTAGTACGTTGTTTTCTGCAGAAAAAAATCAAGTTTCGTCCCCTTTATAAAAAACCAGACTTAAAAAATGCTTGAAATCAAGCATGCAATTTTTGCATCTTAAATTGATCCAGATTTCCAAATCTCTCTTATTACAAATCTTATAGTTTCTATTTCCCTGAGTAAGTTTTCATATACAATTTCACTTCTTACACATTTCCTTACACTAGATTTGAAAAACTTATTCTCAAAACTCCAAAAAATCTCTGATAAAAAACCAAGTACATAATTTCTGTTATAGAATTGTCACTCCGTCAAATTAACACCCTCGTCCTTCTCGTTGTCGCACAAATGTACATATCTCATCCTCCTCCTCCAACATTGCAATACTTGTTTCGTACATTTGCATAAATGGTCCGCATGCAGAATAACAAGCCCTCGTCGTGTCACTTTCTCCACAAGTGAGCGAGTGAGTGAGTGAGAGAGATAGCAAAATAAATAGTTTGCGAATAAGTAAGTAAGCAGCAAACCTACAAACAAACCCTGTTTTGCTTTCTCCACTTTAACAGGAGCAGTAGGGGCAGTGGAATCAATAATATTTATTTATTTTAGACTTAAGTATCGGATTTTAATAAAGCCCTCTCGTCCTCTCAGGGTGCAAATAAGAGCGAAAATATGTACACACGTATGTATGCATACCAAACCAACCCCACGCCCAATAAGTAAACAGATCAATGCTTATCCAAACTAAATAAGTGATCACATCATTTAATTTAATTTAACATTGTTCCAAATTTTATTTAACGGAGAGATGCATATTTGTGAGAGGATGCAGGACGATAGGAATTTGTCAGTCGGGAAGGTAGAGGGAAAATATGTACCCCCAAAATCAGGAACAAGGGTGGAAATCTAGTTTGTCAAAATGTACCGAATTTTTCAACCCCGTTCTTCCCAGGGTTTAGATTTCCAGGGGGTGTTTACACCCATAAAAACGAAAATCTACACCGCATTTACACGAAAATGCTCGTTTTATGAAGAACCTTTTCATCTCTGTCAATACACTTTAGTTCAAAAAATTGAAAATCTACGTCGAATCTGCATGATTTGACTTTTTACTCTTAACTTGACTTTTAATCGCGGTCGAAATACTTTAATTGCTCTTAAATCGTGAAAATAATGTATGTTTCCAGCAATAAAAAGTTAATTTCTTTACAAAACTCGTATTTTCGTACGACTGTTGCCTTCTCCACGTAGATTTTGGTCTTTTTGTGGGTGTA